TCAAAATGAATCATGATATTCAAACCAGAAAACAAGTGATGAGCTAAACGCTAAAATTGATAAGAAGTCAGATTGATAATTGCCGGCTAACTTTAATGAAAAAAATATAGAATTTTGCTGTCTGTTTTTGCATTGACGACTACCCAGAGAGTTAATCAATTCGAAGATAACCAAAAACACATGAACAGTCGTCGTATTTTCGTCAACAAGAAGCACCGAAATTGAGAGCTGGAGAACTTTTACAGCTGATAGAAGGATACACTTAGCTCTGTGTCGTAGATTTTAAGGCCCTTTGTCATAGCTTAAGTGGAACAAGGTATTAACTAAGTTACCCCAAAATTCATAAAAAAGGAAAATTCCATCAAAACCACGCCAATTTAAGTATTAAATTATTTAATTACGAGAGATAAGGAATGTGAAATGCATGTGAACACGATAATATTGTGTATAACGGGGTGTGCGATAGACCTACCTCTACGTGGTGCACCCTGGGCAACGTATACTCATACGGCAAAAAAGTCTATTAACCGGCAGTTGACTTCTCTATGTCATATTCGAAGTCTATAAACCGGCAGTTGACTTCAAACTATCGGCAAAAAAATTCTATTAACCGGCAGTTGACTTCTGACTTCAACGCAAAAAGGTCTATTAACTGGCAGTTGACTTCTCACTTCACAAAAAAGTCTATTAACCGGCAGTTGACTTCTGACTACTCATACGGCAAAAAAGTCTATTAACCGGCAGTTGACTTCAGACTACCATCACCCCACTCTGTGTCATATTCTACCACTTCCACAGTACTCACCTCACCTTTCATCTACATTTGTGTCTGTCTCTTTTACATCTTTGAGACACTCTCCTGTTCGCCCATCTCGACTTTTTTCAGTTTGATGTTCCTCTCCCTCTGTGAAGCCTGAAGTCAACTAAAGGTCTAATGATAACTATCATAAAGCCTGCCATTTGATATAAATAAATAAATACATAAAATAAATAAGTAATAATATTTAAAGCCTGCCATTTGATATAAATAAATAAATAAATATTGTGTATAACTTAAACTGACTTACTGTGATATCAAATTTAACTTGAACAGTGTTTGGTAAGAAGTCCACAAACCGCGAATCGAAGTCAAAGTTTAATTTCTCCACACAGAAAGAGACAAATGCTGCAGAATAGAAGAACAAAAAGGCATGGTTTGAATTCTGAACAAGCACCAAGAGAATAAATCCAAATAAGCCAACCAGGTGCGTACAATTTTCGGCAGTAGGAGTCACCCAATTATAATCATTGGCCAAGAGTCGGAGTTCAAAGGGCTGGGCGAAGAACCTGAATTTATAGATGTAGGGAACGAAATAGAGAATATCCGGACGCGAATCACTCGACCAATCATCGAAGAAGGCTATAAGGAGGTAATGATAATGTGAAGCCGCCATTTAAGTACTATTGACAAGAGTGTGTCAAACCACTCACTACTCACCCTTAAAGTAGGCCTTTTGAGAAAAAAGAAAGCAGAAAACAGCCTCTTGACAAGTTAGATCGAAGGACCATGTTTGGAGGGAATTCCAATTACGTGGATAGTGGATATTCAGTTTGAGATCGAACCACGCGGAGGTAAGAAGATCATTCCATAGGCAGTCTGTTATTAGAGAACCCTTAGCAAGGTTCAAAACCATTTCCATGGTACTTCCATCTTCTCCAACCACCCAAGGGATGGAGAGTTTGAAACTCGAGCCTGGACCACCGACAAAAGCGAACTTCTGCAAATTAAATATCCAAACAGTAACTATCTTGTAAAAAATTGGGGTGCACGATAGACTTAACTCCACATGGTGCACCCTGAGCAACGTATACTCATAGGGAAAAGGTATATAAACCGGCAGTTGGCTTCAGACAATCATGACCCCACTGTATGTCATATTCCACTAGATCCACAGTACTTACATCACCATACCCTTTTCTTTACCTTTATGCCTGTCTCTTTGGCAACCATGAATCGCTCTT